CAAGCAGATACGTAACAAGACCATTCAGAAAGATTATGGGACACAAAACTCAACTTTTAACAGTACACTATGAATATTATACTGATAAACAGGCTTAACAAGGTACTCAAAACAAGTTATTTAAAAATTAAATGTAACTTTCTTTATTAAACAATCATATATCTACACCTATGGTAATCTAAAAAGAGATCTACCTGTAAAACTTGTACCTCTCTATAAATACTGGTTCGTTTTTCTGCTCCATTTCAAATTACCACACAACTGATTATTATCATTAAGCAATTAAAATAATCAACAGTTTACTGCCAAGTTTGATTTTCTAAACTGTACTATGTAAAGGATATTAAACTTTAAATCTACTCTTTAAAATTACACAAGTTTATACTTGAAATAAGAAAGATGTAATCTAATTAGGCTAGACTTACCTTACTGACAGCATGGAAACAATCTAATAAAGTAAGGTTATAGGTTGATGGGCCAAATGATGCATCCCTGAAGGTATAAAAATTTAGCTATAACAAATTATACAAATGTACATACTTACATAAAGAAGACCTAACAATAATGTATGAAGTGCATATAAATAAAGTCTGGTCAAATCTAATACACACCTTTACTTTCCTGCAATGACAGCTAACACTTAAATGGTTGGCTTGGCTTTGTTAAAGGTGGTATATAATAATGTCAACGTAAGTTAAACCTCCCACACAAAGAACTACAGCTGGAAACTATACGTGATGCAACAAAAAGCTAATCCGACCTTTTAAAGAACTTTCAAACTTCGTTCTAATAAATAATTATACAAATGAAATTAATGTTCCAGTAACATTATTGTAAAAGAATAACACTAAAGAATTATAATTATAAAGTTATTTAACCATTGAAATAATTACACACACACACACATATTTTTTATAAGAAAATACACTGCACAGAATTCTCTTCTTCCAAACAAGTGAGAACTAACTGCTTGAGAACCTAATACAGAACTTTTTATTTGAAGCACAGTTCTACATAGTGCTCTCTGAAATGCACCGAACACTCAGATTGTGCAAATATATACATCACTTTTATCAGTGGCTAGTGAAAGTTGGTTTAAATTGTATCATTGTTAATGGTTGTATGAAAAACAACTCCAAACTTATCAAATATAATTTGTTATATTAGTAAACCTAAACTGTAGAGTGAAATAAAACTAAGTAAAAATAACTGAAGTTGCTTTCACGTATAGCACTGTTGAGGATATAATAAAATGACTTGAATCATAAGTGATTAAAAGCTGTTAAATAACAAATGTTCTCATTGATAAGGTACCTGTCTGTGATTTCAGGTTGCTAGAGGTATAGTTATCAAAATATTGTAATTGCTTTTTCTAGGACCTTTATTCTCACAAATTGTTGAAACAAGTGTTGAAAATTTACTTGTATTGCAAGTACTTTCTCTTTTTGGATAAGACTTCTGAACATTTTCTAAAAGGAACACAAAAGTTAGAAAACCACAAATGAGGGAAAAAATTCTGATTATGCTTTCATCATGTGATCAGTTTCATGGAAAAGCTGGGCAAGTTAATAAAGAATAATGGTAAAAAAAAAAGAATCTTAAATGAGATTTTTACAAATAGATCTCTGTAGTAAAATTATTAAAACTAACCTAAGTTCATATGCTTAATGACTCACCGGAAGGGAATGAAAGGTGGACTTGAAATTCCGACAAGTGGTTGATAAGCTTCTTCTGGAGTTCTTTTCAAATAAATTATCTTGGGAGAAAAGAAAATCCTGTATAGTATCAACTCATTCACAGCAAAAGAAAAAACTGCTTCAATGTACAAAGATTTGTAACAGAGTCCATCTATTCTGTTAATCTGCTGTGGTGAATTTCTGTGTGTAATTTTTAAATAAATTATCAACTACCTACTGAAACACTTATTATGCACCTGATATTTCAATGAGACACGCCTACACAAAAAGTCACATAAGGTATCAGTCTAAAATATTTACTATAGCTTCACCTAAGAGTAAAAATGGACCATTTTTAGTTTTTTTGTCATTCAGATTAAAGACAGCTGATTTAGAGCAGCAAAACCATAAGGAGAATGCAGATATACAAGTATTGGTTAGGCCAAGCAAACTAGACTAACAGTTTCTAGCTCAAGTTTTCAAAAGAATCATACGGGTGAACTGTTGTTATTGATTATTCTTTGCCAACTTTTAAGCACAAACTGGTTAATCTTTATGAAGTTCTCCTAATTAAGTAGCGTTTAGCATCATATGACATTAGCTTAAGCAATTAGTATAAATAATGATGCTTGATACAGCTGTGAGAGACAAACACATTGTTGAGGTTCATTACCTAAATTCATTATGCATGGTCGTGATGACAAGAAACTGTTAATCTAAATTCCATGGCATTACTATAAAGGAAGTTATTAACACTGTTTTAGAGAGGAGAAACTACCACCATATATTTTAAAGAATCTGGATGGTCCTGTAAAGTAAAGGTCTGTTCCAAATAATAGGGTTGCAATCCAAACGCTAATGTTGGTTACTATCAAGTGTCACTTTCTTACTTGCTGTGGTTTGTCGGTGTGTATTGATAAAAAGTCATGATATCTAATCAGAAACACCTTAGGAGTGAAAAAAAAGGTGTGGACAAAAAAGGACTGAGCATCCAAACTTAAGGAAATGAAATCAAAATTGTCAGCCAAACTGGTAGCTACATTTATAGAATCAATAATAATTCTACAGCAAATATTCATTCATTAGTTAGTTAGACTGCATATTTTGTTTTACCCACTATCTTATCTCAAGTTCAACAAAAAATAATTCAACCAGCACAATGTGGTACTTCTTTATCACAAAATAATTCAGCCAGCACAATGTGGGTCTTCATTGTCATAAAATAATTCAGCCAGCACAATGTGGGTCTTCTTTGTCATAAAATTCCACCAGCACGATGCTGGTCTTCATTATCATAAAATAATTCAACTAGCATGATATGGGTCTTCATTATCATAAACTAATTCCACCAGCACGATGTGGGTCTTTTTTATAATAATGCATTTAAAGTTGTCATTTCTTTTTCTAAGGTTGGAAAGTTGATCATTACATACATAATAGCAATACAATTAGGAGCATATCTAATAAGGCCAATTTTTAAAAAATCTTTCAGCGACTAATTTAAAGATTCCTCTCTTGATAAACACAAACTTTCAAACGCGGTAACTTTATATGACCTTTGGTTGGAATACTTCGTTTGGTTTAGAAAGTTGTTTAGATCAAAATGTGTAGAGTGATAGCAAAGTCTTCGAACTTATGGCTGAAGTGAATGATGGATTTAGATAATGAGCCTCAACAATTTGTTTGTCTCTCACAACAGTCACGTACAGTTATGTGTCGGTCATGTACTAGCCACAAGATCAGTCTCTATTTTCATTTTTCACTAGTTCAAATAAAAAACGGAAGAGAGATCATGATTTATTTTCATAGCACATTCTCTGTAGTCATTACAATTATTGACGTTAAACCGTCAACAATATTACATCATCAACTTTACTGAACGTAATCGGGACGATTGTGTGCTATAATAACCGGTAATCGGTCATTTCCAATTGTGAAATGATAGGTAGAATAGTATTTTCATACGATAACAATGGTGACTTCAAACTCTTTGCTTTGCACAGTTTAATATGACATACAAAAAACTGCATGATAAGTCTAAACATGTATCATGGAGATTTAGCTCACATGATAGAATGCTACATGGAATAACATGTTCATGAGTTCTACTTGTTATATACTAACCATGATGCCCAGCCTACCTTCTAAACTTTTCTGAATTATGCACATCATTCAGAGATTCTTCATACTCAATTCTATTTCCCCTCCCTCCCATTTTCTGGACACTATTTCTATGGGTCTTCTTCCCTCCTACTTTCTTTAAATTATATAATCAGGCTCTGCCTATTGTCACTCCCCATAAGAATTAACTTTTGCCATGTTAGCAAAACACAGTATTTCAGACATTTCTAGAAGAATGTAATACAGTATAAAGCAGCCAAACATTAATACAACTTTTTATAGAAAGCGTTACTGACTGTTCCAGAATAAAGTACATATGAACACACCTGCACACTTCTGTATACATTCATTGTTCCTAAAAATGTTCTAAAACAAAGAGGAATGCCACAAAATTAGAAGAAAACACTAGGATGGTAAAACTAAACAGATTTCTCCTAATCTTACTTGCTACTGAATTGACAGTTACTAAAATAAAATGATTTAATTTACTACAACAGATTTTCAAACTTCCCTACACATTTTGACAGTAATTGTCCAATAAACATATAAAATCTAATAAACGGAAATGAACCTATGAAAAACACATACACATCATAATTGAAGGCAAGCTGATAAAGAAGTGGATTCAAACAAATGTTAAACACAATAATGATGAGTTGAATTAACTCAAGCCACACAAATGTTAAACACAATAATGATGAGTTGAATTAACCCAAGCCACACAAAAAAATGTTAAACAGAATATTGTTGAGTTGAATTAACCCAAGCCACACAAATGTTAAACACAATAATGATGAGTTGAATTAACCCAAGCCACACAAAAATGTTAAACACAATAACGATGAGTTGAATTAACCCAAGCCACACAAACAAATGTTAAACAGAATATTGTTGAGTTGAATTAACCCAAGCCACACAAACAAATGTTAAACAGAATATTGTTGAGTTGAATTAACCCAAGCCAC